GGTTACGAAAGTTTAATTCTAAAGAAGTAGTCATATAAAAATATCACAATCATACGTATTAGATACGTCAATTTAAATTCAAAATACCTTGAATGTTCCCGTATATACTTTATTATGAAAATATAGGTTGTTATATAAGACTTGCTTAAAAACCTGGTTATTTTCATATATAGTTTACTTTAAACGTATTAACAATATCACAAAGCATTAATTTCTAATACTTTTTATGTAAAAATATGTCATATTAACCGAAGTGCAATAAAACATTGTTAAGAAAACAAGACGGTGTTAGGTAACTAGCAGTTAGTACTGGAAACGTGTGCCTTCCCTCCGTAAGATCATTGCTAGCAAAACAAACGTTACCGTCTAAATTGTAGTTTTCCATCGTCGGCATTTAAGTTAGAATTCTCCCAAAATGGTGCTGGAATTTTGCCAACTACGGCATTGCTCATTGCATGACAATCACTTAAAATAATATGTCCTTATTTTATTTATTTTAAATGAAATATATACTACAAGATATATACAATATTAGAATAGCGTTTATTTACAGACAAATTGGCTCATTTTCAACCTTATGTATATAAATGTGATTCAGAGTAACAAAATATTTCTTCTACAAAAGTCATGGTATGTATTGTGGATGCTAATGTATACTATTTATAATTATTTTCGTGATAGATATTACTTTTATTAAATTAAGAAATGATTTTTTAAAACTTTTATTAAAAATATGTTATATACTATGGATTACTGTGTAACAATTTATCAGTTCCAAATTTATCATCATAAATTCAATGATAATACGTGCTACGTGTATTAAATAGTGCCTTCAAAAATACATTCAATAATAATAATTTACATCAGAGCGCACTTAGTCATGCCTCGGAGATATATTGTGTTAAAAGCCGAATACATTTTTCGTCTGGAATAACACATATTTCTCAATGAATTTCTTGTTGATCGCGCTACCATTCTGTCTTACTTTCTTTGCCTCATTTTTCTTGTTTGCTTTGTTTTTTATGATTTTTATGGTGCACTTTCAATACGTCGACTAAATATTGGATAATTGTTACCATCAGTTTAAGCATTTAATATCAAACTTTAATGTTTGTGTTATATATTACTTTATAAAAACTAAGGAAATATAATTTCATAAAGTAGTAAAGTGTCAGTTTAGAATAAAAAAACAAACAAGAGAGGAATCTTGAGAGGTGGAATAATAGGTAATAAGGTAGTTAAGGAGGTAAGTAAGCACCTACGGACGATGAGATTCTGTTTTATCTTCCGCAATTGTTCTCTGTCGTCATTACCCAACAGTCTTAACAATTTTAAGATGAGATTTGCTTCTATTATACCTTGTTACTGCAATGAAAAATATGAATAAACCAGCGCTATTTTCATTAAATTATTTAGACACAAAAGTATGTACATATATATGACTTTTAACTTATATTGTTAAGAAATTACTTTGATTGGCAATTTATAATCTTTTTAAATTTATTTACAATCTTTCGACTCATTTTTTAAAATTTTTAAATGATGAGTTTTAATAATCACTTTATTTAGATTAAGCTTTTCACGTACTTTGTATCAAATAAATCATTATTTTATTGGTCATTAAAATATACCTATCAACAAAAACTTTAATTAAAAAGTTTCCAAAGCAATGAACTAAAAAAAATATTATAATTATCCATTTAGTTTTATTTAAAAAATAAAAAATTTATCATAAGATTTATAAGGTTATTTATAAGGTTCTGTAGAATAAACTGCATGGTAATACTTTCTAAAACTACGTAGTCATTTCCACCTAAACGTTAAGTTTCTACTTTGAATACAAAGTTTTATAAATGTTGTTGATATCATAAAGAAAATCTGCAACGGAAGCTGTTCTGCAGTGGCTTAAGACTGTTGGTGAACATGGAATGAAAATTAAATCATTTACATTAGTTTAAACTCTATCGTACAAGAATTTATATGTACATGTTTAAAAATAAGTTAAAGAGTCAAACTACATATGTTTATTCTGATTGATTTCGAAAAGGTTTATACTTAAAATGCAAACTGATACGATTTAATTACATAAAAGTTACTGCTACTCAATATATTCAGCAAAGCTAATAATTAAAAAAGTGTAAAATTATGAAAACTCACACATTTTTTTAGTTCTTTATAACAAAGAAGTTCGTAAAAAGTCCCGTTTGAAATTATAGTAAAATAATCATTTTTCTTTAATATATAGGTATTATATGTGTCTGTTACTGTAATCGTTACAATACCATTTAACAAAAATGATACTCTTAATATTTTAAATAAAGGTAACATAAGAAACTTGAAAAATATATTATAGGCCTTATAATATTTTCTGCTTCTAAAGTTGCTGATCAATATCGGTAAATTGACCTACATAAAAACTTTTAGGACTTTAAAATTTGTTACTGTTTCTTGATTAAGAATTGTAAATTCAAAGTAAAAATGGCCTTTTAGCAGTAAAGGCTTCTTAAATTATATTATACTGTTTTTTAAACCATATAAAAAATGAAATTCATTAATATGTAAGAATAGAGATTCAATAAATTACACTGAAAATATACGAGTAATAAAAATACATACGCGACACGCATTAAGACGTGAGAGAACTGAGAATAGCTACGAAAGCAAATAATTTATCAGTTACGTAAGAACAGCGCACGAGCTCTACATCCTTTCTATTACAAATGATTGATCTGAATGTTTAAATGATTGATGTTACTTACATACAAGCATTAAGCGCTTAAGATGAAAAGTATAATTCCTGATAAAAAAAAAATAATAATAAGTAGCCTAGACATTGGATAGTGAAATAAAAGTTCACAATTGAAAAAAAATAAAATAAAATCACGTTTCTATACATGCATAGGGTTGCTTTAATTCCTGTAAAAAGAAATTACATATTATGTATATGAAAATGACAATCAAAAGATTTTAGGTTTAGAACCCCAACAAATGGCTGTTAATTAACTTGAAATTCACGTCGTGACTGAAACTTTTTGGTGAAGAACTTTATATGTAGTCTTTTGATAAACTTTTGACAAATTCTTCGGGTAAGTTCATTAGGTATCATCATTGGGTCCATCATTAGGACAAATTCACAAATTCAACCAGGAGAAGCTTCGTATTCATTTAGAATTAAAATCGTGTGTTTAATAAGAAATAAAATATGAAATTTGCTCTACATACTTAATATGACTAAGATAAATGAATATAATTGAGCTGCTATCAGATAATTTGCTGTATTTTTTATGAATGCTTTTGTAGTAACGTACTTTACTATGATAATATATAGTATGTATATTGATATCAATATATACTACTGTCAAAAGTTTTAAGATTATTGCTTAAATTATCTGTGTTAAATCAAGTTAATAAACTTTGAGTTTATAATAGGTTGGGGAAAGAGTCTTTTCGCATTATATGTAGCATGAACTTGTAATAAAATCTCTTTGGCTGTAGTATTTGTATCTGGCTGGTTTTGGTATCATTGAAAGTTAAAATTTTAAAGAACGTAATTCCAAATACAAATTAGGCAAATGTGTGATTTTCTTTTGTTTTTCGTACTGTCAAGATGAGTGAATCTAATGAAGAAATTCGATACATTTTAAAATTTTACTACAAAAAAGGTAAAAATGCAACGCAAGCCGCGAAAAAAATTTGCTGTTTATATTGTTAACTCGCAATAAGGTGATGTTGTGTGTATGGTGGGATTGGAAGGGCATTATTCATTATGAGCTATTACCACCAGGCAGGACTATTGATTCTGAACTCTACTGCGAGCAACTGATGAGATTAAAGCAAGAAGTTGAGAGAAAGCGGCCGGAATTGATCAACAGAAGGGGTGTGGTATTTCATCATGATAACGCTAGACCTCACACATCTATAGCCGCTCAGCAAAAATTAAGAGAGTTTGGCTGGGAGGTGTTAATGCATCCTCCGTATAGTCCTGACTTTGCACCTTCAGATTTCAACCTGCTTCGGTCACTTCAGAATTCTTTAGGCAATGTTAGGTTAACATCACGAGAGGACTGCCAAATCCACTTGTCGCGGTATTTTGATGAGAAGTCCCAAAATTTTTATAGCAATGGGATCATGTCCCTACCTACAAGATGGCAATAGTTTATCGAACAAAATGGTACATACATACTTTAGTTAAATTTAAATAAACTATATTAAAAATTGTTTTGAATTTTCTTAAAAAATGCGAAGAAACTTTTTCCCCAACCAATTATAACAAAGAAGTTATATAAACTCAAAGTTTATACGGTTTAAAAATGTAATACTTGTTTCAAAATATAAACACTGTTCCGTTCATTCCATATATCATATTTGTTTTTGAATCCTCTCCTATTTATTTTTTTTGGAAATTTTTGGAACTTACTCAGTACACCAAATATGTTGAATGTGATGTTGTTTTTCGTTATAATATGTTTATGTAACTTCTTAAAACCAAAAACATATCAAATATATTTATGTACATAACTTAGTTAGTGTTACTACGTGTAGTCTGTGTATTATTATATTGGATTTTTACAGATATTTTGTAGTTATTGTCACTATATACAAAAATAATTGCATTATCTTCGTGTGTTTTTTTTTTATATTTTGTACATAAACCTAGTAAAAATAAATTGAAATAGCACAAACCGTTTTTTTGAGAGTATTTTCTAAATGTATTTTTATTATTTGTTTATTCTTTCAGTATTTGTATTTCCCGTATTGTTTCATGGGAATGTAAAAAATATTTATTTATTGTAATAAGTATTTGTGAAAATATACATATATTATGCAATTTATAAAATAGTAAAAAACTTCGTATCTGTAAATTTATCAAAATTAATAGAGACGAAACCTCTTAGCATTCAATGGATTCACCGTGCGGGTGCCGGGTCCATCGCGTTGCAGGCAGAGGAGATTCAACAGTGCCTGGAACTTGCGACCGAGGTGTAGGTTTAAGGGGCCCCTTAACTAACGCGCGTTATACGCTCACCTCCACTGTCCAAGTTCCTCTCCCTACCTAACCAAATTTGAAAAGAACCTACTAGGGCTGCCTTCGACGTACGTTCCAAGAATGAATTAATGTTAGTTCTGGACAGGCCCAAGTCTTTTAGTAGGTTATAGAGAGATTTAGCTGTTATACCTCTCGCTCCCACCTGTACCGCGTACAAATCAACGACGAACCTATTTCGAGTTAGTTCGTTAGTGAGCTCGTAATACTTATTGACCTTGATGGCATGGTCTTTGGGGATGTTGGTTTCCCAAGGCACCGTAAGCTCTATCATCACAACGCGCTTTAAAATATGTACGCGAATATAGAAATATGTCTGGTCTGGAGGCCGATGCACAAATATCCTCGGGGATTTTGTATTGTTTCTCATACGTATACATCATGATAGTCCAATGAATGTCCTATGATATGAATATAATATATGTATTATGGGTGTCATAAAGAGAAAGCTCTACAGTAGTACATAAAATGTTTGAAATTTTTTTTGTTACCCATTTGTTTTTCCTAATGTCCAAATCCAGTCCTTACATAATAATTTTACATTAACTAAAAAAATCAAAAAGAGCATTTATTTTTACTGATTTATACTGAGGAAGTAACTTTCTCTTACATATGTTGTATAGCAGAACTATACTCAGAATAAAGATTAAGGGCTCATAATCTAGCTTGGAAAAGATATTATATTGCCATTTACACATTCAATGGCATGTGTAATATTTATCTGGATCACGTCAGTAGCGACTGTGTCTTTTACAAAATAGTGCTAAAAATAATAATTGTTTTTTTTTTTATAAATTACGTTCGAAAGAGAAGCAATATAATTACTGAATAATAACTAGTTTATTAATTTCTATCTTGTGATGTTTTGTTAGTCAAAATAGAAATTATGTTGCTGGGTGATTGCCGATAAGTGAAAAATCTATGTTGGATAGAGCGTTAGTTTGGAGGTAGTCAGATGAAAACTAAGTGTTCATCATACAACGACGTTTCTTTAAATTTAAACATGTTATTAGTTATTTTGTATTAATTTTTGGTTTTAATAGCTATGTATATTTTTATGAATAAATTCCTTTCAATAATATAAACCTACTAGAAGAAACTACTGCTGCTCCTGGTAACATCCAAAAAAACTTATGTATCATAAGTGATATACATAGAGACGTTATAAACCACACGCAATTTTGATAAAGTCAAGGATAGAAATTTATTATACAAAATAGAAAATTCAGAAGCAGGTAAGAAGGACATAAAATTGCAACCTCTGTCGTATTGCATCCCAGTTGATTTAACATTTAACTTCGCTGAGGCGTTCAGAGTATTAGAATTTTTTAGTGTTCCTATTTTATTTTTTAGCTCACAATTTAAAATCTTAATAAGGACTTTTATTAGTAGATAAAGTAATTTTATTGCTTTCAGCTTAAAATCAGTAACTTTTATCATTAGTACAGTTAAGTGGATCTTCACCGGCCATTTAAATGAAACACATAGTAGTTGAAATATCTTATTACAAATATCATTATTGTATGAAAATACACTAGTTTTAATATGAAAATTGTAAAAGAATATTTGAAATATTACTTTATGATTAATTTATAATATCAAAATATTTAAACAATATAATCTATCCATAAAACAAAACGTTTGTTTCAATTTATCAAATATAGAATTAAAACATTATTATATAATTTGGTTCGATAAGAAATTCTCAATTAAAGATTTTCACAGTTATATATTTTTTTATGTCCCAAAGGGGCAAAGGGGCAGGCTGCTTACTTGATGGTCAGTGTATAGTTACGATAGCCCATGGACATATGCAACTTAAGTGGTGTTGTGGATGAGTTGCCGGTCTTGACTGTGGTGATACCTGAAGGCCTTATGTGTGAATCATAATCATGATTATCTTAAAGTTATACATGAGATAATTTCAAATAACCAACTACAATTTGATATATAAAGTAATTTTATGAGGATATGGTTATTAAATTGAAGTTTATTAGCCATAAAATATGTAGAATTACAGCACGAAAAGGCTATTGCTATATATTCTTTTAATGAGGGTGTTGAAATATTAAAGTGTATATTATTCAGAAGTAGGATTATTAGACAAGGTTGGTAGGTAAAAAATACAACTGGGCACTTATATAAAAACGTAACAGATTTGTGCTTAAATTTTTATGAATAATTTCGTAGAATTTTAACTGAAAACAATAATAGTAAATTTTAAGATAAAACAAAAACGTAGTAGTTGTTCTTGATATACATTTGATATCAGTAATTTAATATTCTAAAATCTAAACATAGTGTATTCCAAAATTAAATGTATTACTAATAAGTATATTATTAATTTCATCCATCAAGCTAAACCCATTGCTTTATTGTTTCAAACACTGTGTAATTGTGGCGATTAATAATTATGTATTCCAATTCATCAGAACTATAATGGGCTATCTTTATTACCTTACTTGATTTGCCTTGTCATAGAACTACAGAGATCAGTTGGATGGACATAGAAAAATATACATACTTGAGTAAATTTTTGTTAGTCATTGATTTTCTGAAATTTTATACATTTATATTAATTTTGCTTAATCTATTAGAAGAAATGAATAATATTGAGCATTACAAGATTTTTTTATTTCAATAAATAAATTTATTCTAAGGATGCTAAATTATCAATCAACCCAAATATTATTTTTTTAATTTATTAGAAGTTTTTTCAAGTCCCTCTGTTCTATTCTCTGAAGCTCCATTTTTTCTCTATTATTTTCTGTATGTAGCTTTGGATCATTTTCAGGAGTATATCAGAAAGTCTAAGTCTATTAATTTATACTAAACCAGTTTTGTCGATTAATGAAAAGATTATTTCACTGTAGTATCATGAGGTATTTGATTAAAACATGATGTTCTACTGCAATACAATACAAAGAGTTTTGATTAATAATTGTAATGAATTTTTGGTTACATCGTCTTTTTAAATAACCTATTAGCTTGACTGAAGGTTCAGATTTTGGAACTTACATTCGACGCTCTGTGACTTTTAATTTTTATTTAACTATTAAGTTTTAGGTTAATTGTATTTTTTAAATATAATTTTGCATAATATCGATTTACTATAACTTTCGAGGAGTCTACAGAACTCTCGAGTTACTTTGAGTTAACGAATTTAAAATTATGATATCGTCAAATATGAAAATATCCATCCCAAAACTTACAAAACTAATTCAAAAATGAAACTATCACTTGACCTTTAATAAAATCAATTACCTTTATTTAACTTATTAATTTATGTTGTAATTTTAACAATGTCTTCAAATCGCAATATCTTAAAATATTTTGTGTGTAAGCTTTAGCAAGAACTACGAGTTCAATTAAAACTTCTCTTTTTAAGCTTTGTTTTAATAAAGGAAGTTGAATTTTCAATTTCCATATTTCTTTTAACTACGTGGTGCTTTTGAGCATTTTAACTGTTACTTTTACTTCACAAAATCAAAAATCACATTTTATAAGAAATTGTACCTTATTTATTATTATAAGTATATTGTTTTCTTACTCCATCAAAAATGTTTGTACATGCAGACTCTAAACCACAAGTATTTCTCACGTAGGTAAATTAAAGTAACAAAGAAAGAACAAAGTTACGAAGGATCTCGTCTAGTTGAGCTTAAGTTAATTAATATATATTCCTGACTCATATTCAAGAAAGCGGCCTTACTTTTAGATTTCTTTTAAAGTAAAGGTATTAATAAAAGATATCACTTTTTAAGTAAAATATAATGCTTATGAAAAAGTTTATATGTATAAGAAATTAAATACTATCTTGAAAACTTAGGTTTTCATGTATTTAAAACTAATATTTGTTTCCAAAACAGCCTAATAACTAACGAAAAAGTGTAAAAAAGTTCTAATAATATTTTTATGATAACTAATTAAATGTATAATCTGATATAGTGATAGTATTTCATTGTGCATTTAGCTGCAGCAGTGTTAGGTAATTTAATTAAATTTTGCTGTTCATCACTCTACAACACCAAAAGTACTAAGCGAATACCAACTCATGTGGATCTATATATATTGATCGAGCGAGCGAACAATAGGTTTTGTGAGAGAAGGCAATAGGGCTATAAAATCAAATGTCAAGCCTTACTCTATCCTTTAAGTGGCTCCGAATTGGACTATAATGATGGAGACGTATGAGAAACTTTATAAAATGTATTATTGATGAGAAACAATATAAAATGTATTATCTAATATAGAATATTGTTGCGCTGTCTAAACCATTATTGTAGATTCCGTCTTGACTATATGTTATCCTGTATTTGACAATTTTAATGTGGGCTGTGTTAATAGAGCTTACGGCTTCTCGAAAAACCAATATCGCCCAAGATCATGCTACCAAGGTTACTAGCCCACTATTGAAATCACTAGAAATATGTTTGTCGTAAACCTGTATGCAGTAGAAGTGAGAGTAAGAGGTATAATAGCTAAATTTACTACTTTGAAGGCAGCCCAGAAGTTTCATTTCAATTTTTTTTAGGTAGAGAGAGGAGCTTGGATGTCGGAGATGAGCGGTTAAGTTGCTTTATATAAGGGCTCGTTAAACAACCAACCTAAAATATACAATAAATAAATTCATTGAAAATGTGAAGAAATTTATATCCACCTTTTTATCGCAGTAGAATCAAACAAAACTTTCAAACTTTTGCTATATATGTTTACTTAAGAGAAACTGTTAAGAATTTTAAAACCCGAAGTGGGTTGGTCCGACTTTAAGCGGCTTCACATTACTACTGGATTTCTATTTATACAATCCACGTATGTTTTAATAACATTTCACTTTGCCTCCTGTGTAATTCCCTTTTCAGATATTTTAAATTAAATCATATATAATGAGTATAAAGCTCTCCATAGCGGACTGCATTAGATTAAATGGCATGCCAGGTCTGGAATGGTATGCGTTGTTGGCATGGTCTTCAATTGAATAGTCCAATTATTATATAATTAAATCTTTGAAGATAAAATACGATATATAAAATAAATAAGTAAGAAGTTAAAAAACGAATTAATAATTTAGAAATATCTAGATTTCACTTAAGCAAAATTATTCTTATAGTTATTGACTTTTAATTTTTTTTAAAGACAAGAATAAATAAACAATAATTCATGTCTAAAAAACAAGTGTTCTTGAAACCTTGGAGCAGTCGCCAACCTGTATCCACTAATAAAATGTCTACATAACATAGACTTATCTACAAGTTTTCAACGTCACACAGAATACATGAAAAGTCTTCTGTCTGTATACTATGTATATTTTTAATTTTTAAATGACTCACTAGCCATTACGAACGTTATGTATTCGCATCTTTTTATTTA